ACCGCAGGGCTTCCTTCAGCGTCGACGCGGAGGAGGAGGGCGCGGGCGCGGCCGGCGCCGGCGCCGCCGCTGGCGCCCGCGCCCCCGCGTCGCGCTACGCATTTGGCTCGGCTGGCGGCGCCGCTTTTGGCGCGTTCCGCGGCGGCGGCGCGGCGTTCTCGACCGGCGCCGCCGGCGCCGCGCGGCGCAGCTTCAGCTTCAGCCCCGGCGGCGGCCTCGCACGCGGCGCGCTCGGCGGCGGCGCCGGCGCGGGGCTGCTACTAGAGCTCGCCAGCGGCTGCCTGGCGGCGTACGTGCGGCGGCTGAGGCGTCAGGGGGTGCAGGCTTACCTCGGCATCACGACGCCCCAGATCATGCTGACAGGCATGGAGCGCACGCGGTCGCACAACCTCGGCCGCGCGCCCGACCCCGCCGCCGCCGCTGCGGCGCGCGCAGGCGAGGCGGATCGCACTGCGGCAGCCCTGCTGTCGGTCGCCGCGCGCCTCGTCTCCGCCGGCGCCGTCGCGCCCGAGCAGGCGTGCGCGACGCCGGGCCTGCTGCGCGCGCTCGGCGGCCTGCTGCAGCTGCAGCTGCCGCACGCGGCAGCCGCGGCCGCGGTCGGGCCGGGGGCGCTGCCGTCGTGCGAGGGCGCGCTGCAGCTGCTGGAGGCGGTCGCGCGGCATGGCAGCCGCGTGACGGTCGCGGCGCTCGTCTTCCGCGCCCCCGGGCTCACCGCCAGCATCGAGGCCGCCGCCGCCCCCGCCGTCGCCGCCGCCGCGGCGGCCGCGCGGCTGCGGCGAGCCGCGAAAGCGGCCCCCGGGGACGGCAGGCAGCAGCAAGAGCCGGCCTCCCCCCGCGCGGCCGCCGCGGCGCTGGCGGCGCTCCCGAAGCCCCCGCCGCTCGCGGCAGCTGCGCGGCGGCTTCTCGCGCAGGTCAGGCGCGACTTCGAAGACATTTTGGGCGCCGGCCAGAGCGACGGCGAGGGCGACGGCGACGGCGAGTCAGCGTATGACTACTCCCTCTCGTCAGACCAGGGGGGCGCTGACAGCGCGGGATCCTATGGTGGCGCCGAGGATTCTATGGGGCCAGCGGAGGTGTGCTTCGTCTGCGGCAAGGGCGAGGCCGAGGGCGTGCGGCTGCGGCCGTGCAGCGGCTGCATGAAGCCGGGGCTCAGGTGCGCGGGGGAGCGCTGCGGGGGTTTGGGCGGGAGAGAGGCAGCCTGTGCAGGCTTGCGGGTGTGGGGGCCCTGGGGGCGCACGCATGTCTGTGCTTGTGGGTGCTCCGTTGGCGGGTGCTACTGTGTTTTCGGCTGGCTGCATGGTCGCCGTGCTCGCAATCTCATGCTGCTGCATGTTGAAACTTGTGCGGCATGTGTCGCATGGTGCCGCCGATGCCGCATGCTGCTGCGTGCAGCCGCATGGTGCCCAGAGCTGCGGCATGCGGCCACATGCTGCTGCATGCGGCCACATGCTGCTGCAAGCCGCTGCTGCTCTTGGCACACCCAACTTTCCGTGGGCCCCCTTGCGACCCCATCCTTGCAAAACCGGCCCCGGGCCCATCTGTCACCCCACCGTATTCAATTTCCCTCGGCCAGGCTCTGCTCCAAGGTCTGCTCAATGGAGGCGTGGCGCGCCGGCCACAGGGACGAGTGCGAGAAGCTGCAGCAGCAGCGCGCGCAGCGCGTCGAGGCCGCCGAGCGGGGCGCGGCCGACCTGGCTGCGCGAGCTGCCGCATCGTAAGCCCGCTCGCCGGCCGCCGGGCGGCGCGCTTGGCGGCGCGCCGCATGCGGGGTAGCGTCAGCCAGCGTGCAGCGCGGCACGCGCGGCTGCCGCGCGCTCCTGGCCCGGAAGCACGCCGATTGCGCGCCCGCGGCTGTCCCAGCTCCGGCTGCCAGTGGCGGGATGTCAGCGCCACACTGGCTACGCACCGAGACGCTTCGGCGGCGCAGCATGGTGCGGCGGCGGCGGCGTCACAAGCACGGCAGCATGTTTTTTTATTTTTGGCATTTCATCGCACGTTTCAGGAGCTGGCGGCCGTGTCGCCGCATTGCAGGCCGTTGCGGCCGGGGCCGTTTGAGAGAGAGCATGATGAGGTTTGCTATTTTTTATGCCTGACCCAAACAACATCCGATCAAGCGAAGACCGGCCTCACGGCGCATACGCGCTGCCCGGCGGCGTCGGCAGCAGAAAACCAATGCACCTGTGGCCCAATCGCCTGCACCGGCCAACGACTGTCGATCCGGCTAGGCCGCTCCGCCTGCCGCCACGCATAAGCTGGGGAACAACGGCGCCGCCTTGTTACGAACAATCACAGGAACCGAAGGAGTTGATTTGCGCCGCGGCGCGCGAGTCCGCGGCCGGCCCCCGCGCGCCGATGCAGGCCCCCCTGCTGGTGCGCGGCGCGGGCCCCGCGTCGCACTCTTCAGATGGGGCATGCCGCATGCGCGCTGCCCCGGCTTTCGGCGCTCGCCCGAATGCCTTTGCTTCCCATTGCCCCCTTGGCAGCCTGTGACTGCGCCGGGGTTCCATCAGCGGCGCGCGGAAAGGTGCTTAAATCGCACCGCACGTCTTTGTGCCTGTTTGGGGCGCACTGCCATGTTTCATCCCCTCATTTGATATCATTGTCAGCCGTCCCCCCCCCCTCCCCCGTTGCGGGAACACGTACGCAGCGGCGCAGCGGGTCGGGCGAGGCGCCACAAGCCCTCGTGCCATGGCTCGGCATCACAGCACACATCCCTACCCAGCACCGCTGGCCCTTTCGACCCACCCACATCCGCACGCACTGGGTGCACGACGACTCTTGGCGGCGATTTGCCTGGACATGAGACCGAGATTGAGCTAATCAAGCTCGCAGTGGCGCGCGGCTGTAACGAATCCATGATGGCTATGCATGGCGGCCAAGCTTTGACCGCACACTGGCGTGCCGCACACATGCGCCGCCCAAACCCTTGAATGTTAAGTGCCGTGTAAAGGCCAATTTCCTGCGGAGGAGGGCTGGTCACTCGGTCAAATGGGGCAGGGCTCGGGTGACCTTTGAGTGGCTGGCCACTGCAATCGGTGCTTGGCGACGGGTGACGACAGGCCCTGGGTGCGTGGATGCAGGAAAACTCGTCGGGGAGGTCGCAAAGTGCTTTGATATGTTTTGTCTGAGCTTGCCAGAGGCTGGGGTGAGGTGTCCGTGATGGGCGCAGCCGCAGGCTACAAGTACGCGTGCGTGCGCGCTCGACCCATGGCCTGTGTGCCGGCTGCATGCAATCCGTGCTGCTGCTGCTTGCGCGAGCGCAACGGCGGGCCTGCCATGCGTGGCGGGAGGCCCACAAGGTTATGCCCATGACGAAAGGGCCATCATGCAAAGCGCATGGGGAGGAAACGCAGCATCGCCGGCGCGACCGCCGAGATGGGCGGCTGCGCCCCCATCGACTGCAGCTGGCATCATCTTGCGCTGGCAGCCGCCCAAGCTCAAGCACGACCGACTCCCCAGAGCACACCTCTAGTCTGACTGCGGCAGCACGGGCAATGGCAGGCGATGTGTGCATGCAACCGTGTCTGTACAGGCCTGGCCTCCGTTTGCAGCAGTGACCCGGACCGCACAAGCCTAGCACTGGTGGTTGGTACCATCTGTTCGCCATCTCAGGCCACTTATCCTGACACGTATCTGTGCGTCAACTGACGCAGGGGTTAGGGCGAGCTCAGCGCCACTTCTGCAGTGGAATAGCGGCATCAGCACGACGGCGAGTCCCGCCGATGCCGGGCGACAGCTCGAGCTGCAGCTGTCAGCCGGTGATGGAGTGGTGCTATGCACAGCACCCCAAGCCGCGCAAGAAAGATATTTGAAATTGATTATCATAAAACCTATCCGCTTCGCAACTGCCAAGCGCAAAAGGTTCCCTCATGATGTTGACTTGAGCTGTCGATCTGCTGTCAGCCTCGATGCGCCCTCATCATCCTTCTGAATGATTTATACTTCGTAATTAGTTGACGCTCAGGTATGGCTGCAGCTGGTGTCGACGACCGCACCGCCTTGATACAGCAGCTGCTTGCCGAGCGCCGCGCGGCGCGAGCTGCTGCAGTCGACACCACGGCAGGCAGCGGCGCCGTGGGCCTGAGCGAGGACGAGCGTCGGCAGCGGGTGCAGCGGCTGCTGCAAGAGCGCTCCAGTGCTCGGTCGGGCGGCGGCAACGGAACTAGCGGCGTGACAGGTGCGTGTGTGCTGCTCAGGAAGCTTGCGTGTCTTGTTGTGCAGTGCGTGCGGTCCGGCCATGTGAGTGCATGCATGTGCTTGTCACAAAGATTGGACTTTGACATGGTCATATGAGGCTTGTCAAAAGTGAACTGTACTCGCTGCGCGCCCGTACTAATGGCTGGCCTGCCGTGGTATCGCAGCCGGCCAGGGTGCACATGGCTTCGGCCGCAATCAGCAGCATGGCCCGCTGCAGCAGCAGCAGCAGCAGCGGCAGCAGCAGCCGTTGCACGACGACGGGGGCGGCAACGACGAGTTCTTTGATGCGGATGGGGCGCCCTTGCTGTCCCCGGGCAGCTCGGCGCACAGCCGGTCGTCCGTGCCCGCGCACCCCCGCGGAGAGCAGTGGCGGCCGCAGCATGGCGGCGGCGCGCGCGGCACGGCGCTCGTGAGGGGTGGCGATCCCGGCAGCCATCATCACCAGCCCGAACATCAACAGCAGCAGCAGGGGCCGCCAGACCGTCTGCAGCAGCAGCAGCGGCAGCACCAGCAGCAGCACCAGCAGCAGCACCAGCAGCAGCACCAGCAGCAGCACCAGCAGCAGCACCAGCAGCCGCACCAGCAGCAGCAGCCACAGAAGCAGCCACAGCAGCAGCAGCAGTGGCAACCCGACGCCCGCCTGAGGCAGAAAATGATGATGGCTGACCTGGACGGCCCCATTGATGTCAGCACCCTCTGGCGCCGCAGCAGCTCCAGCGCAGGCGCAAGCGCCAGCGGCGGCGGGAGCGGCGGCGGCCGCGGCAGCGGCAGCCCGGCAGCAAGCTCGTCCAGCGGCGCGAGCGGCGGCAGCGGCGGGCCGCGACGAGGCAGTGGGCGGGGGGCAGGGTCGAGTGACTATGCCGGCAGGGGCAGCAGCGTTTTTGATGAAGACGGAGATGGTTGGGAAAGCACGCAGTCTGACCATTCGGCTTCCAGTCGACCTGGCCGCCGGCACATGGGAGCGGCCGCAGCGGCGGCGGCCGCAGGTGGCAAAAGGCGCAGCCCTGCGGACGCGGCGGCTGCACTGGCTGCGCGACCAAGTGGGCTGCAGGGGAAGCAGCAGCAGCAGCAGTGGCAGCGGCGGGGCGTGGCAGTTGACGAGCGGCACCACTCACCCAGACTGCAGCAGCAACAGCCGGAAGGATGGGCGCAGGGGCGACAGCAAGCATTGGACATTCCGCGGCGGAGTCCATGGCAGCAACCCCAGCAGCAGGAATCGCCGCGGGCGAAGCAGCCACAGCTGCATCGGCATCCAACTCAGCAGCAGCAGCACCCCGAGCGGCGGCCGCAGCGCCCGTCCGAGCGGGCAGAGGCAGAGCGGCCCCGCTCTGCCGGCCGCGGCGGAGGCGCAGGCGTAGGCGCGTCGCCGAAGCGCGAGGCGCCCGGACGGGGGCGGCCCAGCGGGGTCAACCTGAGCCGCGAAGAGCGGCTGCGGCGGCTGGCGCGGCCAAAGTCTGCCAGCGCGGCGAAGTATGAGGAGGTGAGGTGCCGCCTGGTGCCGCCCCGGCAGGCGCTTTGACCTTGCTGGCTGTCCAGGTTTGAGCAGTGATAGTGGCACGTATCGTCGGACCGCTGTTTGCGTGTTGGATGCCCCGCCAGGTGCATTTTGTACACACGTGTTGTTTGTTGTCATGCATCCCCATGTCGCCGCCTCTGCTCACAGATCAAGCGGCAGCAGGAAGAGGAGCAGATCCGCAGCTGCCCCTTCGCCCCAGTCACCGGCCGCCCGCCCCACCACCCGCCCCCCGGCGCCCTCCCCGGCCTGCCCGCCGGCGAGCGGCTCTACGCCGCCGCGCAGCGCCGGCGCATGCGGGCGGCCGGGGCGGCGGGGGCGACGGGGGAGGCGGCGGCGCGGGAGGAGGCGGAGTGCACGTTTGCGCCCAGGGTGAACCGGGAGGCGAACGAGCAACAGCTGGACGCGTGCTCCTGGAGGTGTGTTCGGCCGCCGCGTAGCTTTTCGTTCCAGGCCTGCCTGCCTTGCCGTTTGTCAGCCCTGGCCCAGTTGGTTGGTATCAGCGCCTGCTGCGACCCAGGGCCCGGGGAGCTGAGGGCCTTGGCTCAGTCGCGGGACAGTCAAGACTGGTCAAGATCAGTCCAAATGAATTCTCAAAAGCCGAGTCCGCGCCGTCAAACGCGACGCGACTGACTCGAATCCGACCCGGCCCACAACACGTCATCGTGACGTCATCGCGCAGGCCGATCCACGAGCGCGTGGGCGACCTGGTGCGCGCCCGCAACCAGCGGCTCTCCGCGATCCGGCTCTGCGTCGAGCGCGAGCGCCAGGTCAGGGGCGAGAACTTCACGCCCCAGATCAACCCCCGCAGCGCGGCCATCGCCGAGCGCGCCCGGGAGGAGGGCCGCCGCCCGCCCTCGCCC